GTTTCAAAAATAGAATTCGCGAGAAAATGTTCAACAAAGTTTGGTTAGTTCCATAGCTTTAAAGTCCTAGAAAACTGAAAAATAACCAAAAATTTCATCCAGAAATGTGTTCTTAATTTGACAACAAAGGTGTTCAGCAAAAAAAAAAAAAAAAAAAAGAAAATCGATAAAAATGGCCAAACTGGCAGAAAAATGCCAATTTCTTAAATTTCAGTATTTTCACGAGCCCCTGCCTCACAAATGTTCTACCTACTTTATTCTATTCTGGGACAAAAGGTTAAAAGACCTGCATTTGAAAAAGTTTGACATATCGTAAAACTCCAAATGTTTGACGTCATATTTCTCAACATTAAATACCGAGCAGACAGAACTTTGTAATTCTGAGATAGTGAAATATCATGACTTTAACTTTAAAGCAATGACATTTTAAAGAATATCTCCGTACGAGGGCGGACAAGGGGGGGAAGAACTTTGTCCTTTAGCCGCTAAGATACTGATTTCAGTCATAAAAACAATACCCGTAACTAATCTATAACATGTCTCCTCTCGAATCAGTTTCATGTGACCTTACTTTGGATTGTTTTGTGACTTCGCAAACAAAGGATACTAATTTGCGCTGCGGAGGAAATAAGATGGAGTTCGCGAAAGAAAATATTTTCTCATATCTCATGCTCTTTAAACTTTACGAATCGCCAAAACTGATGCACAAACATTTGCTGAGTATTTACGGAGATTCTGTGTGTGCGTACAACCTAGCTTGTCTTTGGTAAAGATAAATTAAGTGTTAACAATGATACAATACTGTTGTTTCACTGCATCCATGTTGTCAGGATTGCCAGTTTTTAGGCTGATTCCCGTTCTTGTTACTTTCGGACAGACTGTCGCATATTTCAAAATGAACATAGCATCTGAGAGTGGTTTGGTTTGACAGCACAACATAATTATTTTTTATAGCTTCTGGGTTGATATTTTTTTTTTTAAAAACAAAATAAGGCTTATGCATCTTTTGGAGATTTCTTTGCTAACATTCTGAAAAGCATTTTTATGTGTTTTATTCCAAAGCGTTGTTGAGTTTGGAGATTTGCTTTCGGTGCTCTTGTTGTGTTAGTTACCTATCACGTAATTTCAAAACTCAGTTAGCATGTGCCTAAATTAAGCGTTGATCCAATAAAAAATTACTGAGCCATCTGCAATTTTTCAAGTTTCCCCAAGCTTGGGACAAGTGGTAGTTCATTTTATTTTATTTGTTTAAATTTGATTATACTGCATTAACGATTTTATTTCTGTGACTGGACAATCATCTAAAATTTCAAAGTCAGGACAGGAATTACAGCAGCACATGACAGAGATGCATAGACAAAGGAAGTGTTGTACAGAAGCATGGCACAGTTGGATTTCAAAGCCGAAACCTTCGCTCAGACATCCGCTACCTCAAAATTACAAAGTTTCAGACAATTTTGGCCGTTCTCAATTACTAAGACCATGAGGTCAGAATGCAAAGTGTAGTATCTGATCTATCAAAATCGAGGAAAAAAAATGGAGTGTTTTCAAGCTATTCAAAGATTTGAAAAAAAACTTGACATAATAATGTGAAACTCAAAACTTTTGACATCAGATTTCTCAAAACTAGGTATCAAACACACAGAACTTTGTAATTCTGAAGTAGCGAGACGTCAGCGGCAAACTTAAGCTAGTGTCAGGCACATCACAACGTGAACTGATTTTTCTGCTTTCAGTTTCCCCGGTAGAATGTTTGTTTATTTGTTTGTTTTAGCAAGAATATTAATAATTTGATAAATACATAGCTCGGTGCCTCTTTTTGACACGATAATTAAATGCTTAAATGAAAAAAGAAGGAAAACAGTAGGCAAAACTCAAACAAAATCGCTTGCAAAATTTTTAAAGAGCATTGCTGTTCATTTTTCTCGGGCTTTTTTTCTTTTTTTCTGGGGGGGGGGGGGGGTGGTGGTGTTTGTTTTTGTTGAGGAGTTTTTTAAGGGGGAAGGAGGGGAAAGAGTGAGGGGTAGGGGTTCCATGCCCCCATCAACCTAATTTTGTTAGTTTGACTGTCTTTAATTGCATCAGCAGAAGCGATATACGCGTGCTACTGCATACCTAAAGGTAAGGCTATACATTAGCTATTTCTGTGGAAATACTTAACCTACGACCCACACCCTGGGTCTACACCGTCTGTAAGCCCAACATGGGTGTAACCGTGACAAAACGCGATAGACATTTTAACTTATTTAAAAATTGGGGCTGAACATTACCTTTACCAATAACAATTATCTAAATAACACGATAACAGCTCTCTTTACGGAATGATACTATCACACAACAGGGAAATTACAGCAAATTAATCTTAATCACAATATTATTATTATAAATATTGTTGTTATATCAGAATCTCTAGACTGCGGTGAAATTGCTTAAGAACTCTTTTCCCATCTGTCCAACAGCTCTCCCTTCAGCCGTAAAACAGTTACAAGGGAATGTACAGAGATCAACTAAAATTCAAGCAAATATGGCTCAGACAAATGATCTTCGGTATTTACTCTTCCTAAGCCTGATTCTGTTTCAAGTCCATCACGACTGGCTCACACTCATCGGACGCTCCCACGCATCCTGCTCAAGTGAGACCGAGCAATCAGTCGTTCGAGTAGATAGCATGATTGTCATACATCAGGAGCAAAGAACTTCTGTAACTTCTCGATCTGATTGTTTAGCTATTTGCATGAACCGTTTTTGCTCTGGAATGCTGGTGACACACGTTTCAGCCCAACTCACAGAATGCACTGTGTTTGAGGACGGCCTTGTCAATCAAGTTTTTCCTGGCATCAGCCCTTCTAGTGAATTCTTTCTGTTGTTCCAAACTGTCATCCGTAACCCTGTCATAGGCCTGAAGTACGGCATTCCTGGTGGACTGCGAGATGGAAGCATCATTCTGGTAGAAGGGATTCCAACAGCTACTGGAGATGTAATGGTTCAGCTACAAACAAATTCCATAAATAACACTGCATTGAGATTCAAGGCCACTAATTACCAATCAGCTGGCATTCCAAAGATAATTCTAAACCATAAACATTCAGGAGTTTTTGGTGAATCTAATGAATATCCTATCTATCCTTTTGTGATGGGAGAACTGTTTCGCGTGTACATCTTCGTCAGGCTGACCGAATATAAAATTTTTGTGAATCAGGTTTATTGCTGTAGTTTCAATCATGTGTTTACAGATTTGCCCTCCATTGTGTACGTAAAAGTTACTCGACAAATACTGGCAAGGAGAATTTGTCTAAGTTGAGCTATTTCTAATAACACGCTACGAATGTTCAATGGTGAATTAAATTTATGTTTAAATAATAATGCACCTATGCAGATACTTCTGGTGAGGATTGAGTTATTTGTGATTTTACAGGGTGATAAAAAAAGAATGAAACTGTTCATTACGCATTACTTTATAAGGTAACGCAATAGAAAACCCAAACCAAGTCACAAAAATATGTACTCACAATTAACTTTTTTCCATATCTCACAATTAATGTTACATGTGACCACCACCAGCAGCGCAGGCAACATCAATGCAGTAAGGAGTTCATCCCTGACTCGTTTCCACGTATCACGATCAACTGAGTTGATTGCTATTGTTATTCTATGTTTAAGGTCATCGAAGTTAGTGGGTGGTGGTGGAAGGTCTTTTGCATTAATGTCCCCACACGAAAAAAAAATTCGCTGTTTGTCTATGTGTTTTAAGCATATTATTATTGTCACGGTAGTCACCGTATTGTACCTTACTCTTTTTTAATCACGGGACGTAAGCGACCCGTATGCCATGGGCGTTTGGTTAATGTTACTCATTTCGGGGATCAACATAAAAAGCCAGACACTACACCCGGGCTCATTATTAGAATGCCTGCTGTCGTGTGTGTTCGTCTCTCCAGTTTACAGTTGTGTGTATACTAACATTACATGGTGTCAGAAGTCAGTGGATGACGTGTCACAAGTGTCAGAATGCCTCATTTCGAGCCTCCTGAACCGTTTGATTTTTCCAAACCTCACGAGTGGCCCGAGTGGCGACAGCGTATGCTATGATACCGCACAGCCACCAAACTGAGCGCAGAGACCGGGGCAATTCAAGCAAGTTCATTAATTTACTCTATGTGACGCCAAGCTGAACAGATATTTAACACGTTCACGTTCCCTGCTCCCGTCGAGGGTGACGATCCTAGGGACAACTTTGACACTGTCTTAGAGAATTTCGACGCTCACTTTGTCCCCAAGCGGAATCTTATCCACGAAAGAGCAAAGTTTCGTGCACGAGCAGAAAACAATGGGGAGACGATAGAAGAATATGTTAGAGCCCTGTACGAGCTTTCAGAACATGCAGACTTTAAGGACCGAGATGAAACCATTAGGGATAAGCTCGTCCTTGGAGTACTGGACAATGAACTGTCACAGCGCTTACAACTCGAGGCAACTCTTACTTTGAAATCAGCCATCGATACAGCTCGCCATTTCGAGCTCGTAAAGGGTCAGGTCAGTAGCCTACGTCAGCTAGGTGCAGCAGTCACAGTGGATTCAGTGCGCTACGGCCAGAGGGGATATTCGTCGCCTGCTCACCCCAGGGGTAGAGGCGGCCGAAGAACAGGTACACACTCACAACACAGAGGCAGCCTTGCATCACCATCAACTTTCTCTAACTGCGGCAACTATGGAAGAGGTCATGCCCAAAACAATTGCCCAGCGCGTGGGAAAACTTGCAGGAAATGCGGCAAGCACAATCAGTTCGCAACTGTCTGTCGCAGCAGCAGCCGCAATGTCAACGAAATCACTGAATCGGAAACTCCTTCGTTCTCTTTAGGTGCTGTTGACAAAGACTCGGACAGTAATATCGTTACGAATGTAAACTTCGCGCAGTTAGCGAGCCACCATGGCGCGTTACACTGAACCTTGGAGGGAGAGCTACATCCTTCAAAATAGACACAGGGGCCGATGTTTCGATTATGTCGAAGGCCGTCTACAACCGTCTCAGTCCTCGTCCAAAGCTGAAAACAACGTCTGCAGTTCTTCGCAGTCCTGGTGGAATTATAAGGAGCGGGGGGGAATTTATCGCGACTACGCAGCATTACAATCGCAACTTTGCGTTCCGTGTTTTCGTCCTTGACGTCGACACCGACTGTCTTCTCAGTCGCGACGCCGCAGCTCGTCTGGGACTGATCTCTCGAGACAGAATAGACTCCGCCATCCTCGTGTTTGGCGATGTGGGACCTAAACCTATACGCTGCGAGCCAGTGAAAATCATCTTGAAAGACGATGCACAGCCATACTCTGTGAACGTCGCACGTCGGATTCCCATTCCACTCATGGACGAAGTTAAAGCTGAACTAGACCGCATGGAAGCCGCAGGTGTCATTGAGAAGATCAGCGCTCCAACTGACTGGTGCGCGCCGATGGTCCCGGTCAGAAAAAGGTCTGGTAGTGTTAGAATCTGCACAGATCTGAAAAAGCTCAACCTATCGGTGAAGCGTGAACGATTCATGCTGCCCACCAAAGAAGACATCTTGTACAAACTCAGCGAATCAAACAAGTTCAGTAAGCTTGATGCAACTTCATCCTTTTGGCAGTTGGCACTGGACGACGACTCCGCGAAGCTGACCACTTTCATTACACCGTTCGGTCGGTACTTCTACAGACGTCTCTGCTTTGGAATCACCTCTGCGCCTGAGATATTTCAGCGTACGATGCAAGACATTCTAGTGGGCATAGACGGTGTAGAGTGCTTTATGGATGATATCCTGCTGCACACGGATGGTCAGGAGAAACATGATAAGCTGAAGAAGGAAGTCTCCCAGCGGCTAAAGGAGCGTGGGGTCAAGTTGAAAAAATCCAAGTGCAGTTTGACAAGGACGAAATCGATTTTCTTGGCCACATCATTAGCGGGAAGGGTGTAAGGCCAGATCCATCCAAGGTCAGCGCCATCACCGAGATGCCAGAGCCAGAGAACATTACAGACTTGCGACGAGTGCTCGGCATGGTGAACTATTTGGGCAGGTTTGTGCCAAATCTGTCAACAGTCATGAAGCCGCTCACCAATCTTCTGAATCACGATGCTGAGTGGGCCTGGACTCCAGCGCAGTCATCTGCCTTCACTAAAGTCAAGAAATTGCTGTCGTCAGCTCCAACACTCGCCTTCTTCGACATGAGGAAGCCTGTCGTTGTAAGCGCTGATGGAAGCAGCTACGGACTGGGGGGAGTTCTCCTCCAGGAGGACAGGGGTGATCTTCAGCCAGTGGCCTACTGTTCCAGAACTTTATCTAAGGCGGAGAAGAACTACGCTCAGATTAAAAAGGAACTGTTGGCGGCCACCTGGGCGTGCGAAAAGTTCGATCGCTACCTCCTCGGTCTGCCGTCATTCACACTGCTCACCGATCACAAGCCCATTGTGCCTCTGATCAACTCTAAAGAACTGACTGATGCACCTGTTCGGTGCCAACGGATGCTGATGAGGATGATGCGCTACAGCGGAAAGGCAGTATACACCCAAGGGAAAAACATGACTGTCGCAGACTCCTTGTCCCGAAGTCCAGTAGTGAGCACCGAGCCTGAAGAATTTGGTGAAGAAATCGAGGCTCATGTCGCTACAATCCAGATGTCATGGGATGCCACGGATAGCAAACTTGATGAAATCAGAAACAAGTCTCAACAGGATCCAGCGTTCAGTGCTGCGATACAGTACACCAGAAGCGGCTGGCCAAAATTCATACAAAACGTCAAGTCCTAAGCTCACGACCTCTACGCAGTTTCCAGTGAACTGAGCGAAGTCCATGGACTACTCGTCACAGGTAACCGCATCGTAATCCTCAAGGCAATGCGAGGGAAGATGCAAAGCAGGATCCACGACGGTCACCTCGGAGTGTCGAAGTGTCGAGAACGGGTCAAATCTTCCATTTGGTGGCCTGGTCTCAGCTCCGAGATACGGGAAGTCGTCTCAAGATGCGACCATTGCCAGCGGAAACGTCCAGCACAACCAAGCGAACCTCTAACCCCGACAGCTCTATCTGAGCGGCCGTTCCAGGTGGTTGGTGCTGACCTATGCAACTACAAGGGACATGACTACCTGGTACTAGTGGACTACTTTTCACGGTACTTGGAGGTGGCCTACATGCCAGACACCACCTCAGAGACTGTTGTGTACAAACTGAAAAACATCTTCGCTAGGTTTGGCATTCCGGAACTGCTGGTGACTGACAACGGTACCCAGTTTGTGTCAGACTGTTTCCACAAGTTCGCCAAGGGCTGGGGATTTAAACACACAGCTGGGGGGGGGGGGTT